AAGCAGAACATCAGTGACCAGGCTTGGCCCTGACTTGCTTACCCCTGACAGGGACGGATTCCCCACCCAGGATTTCCTCGAAAATAAAAACTTAGATTGAAAAATCCCTCCTTAGTCTAACCAGGGAGACCAACTAACCACTCAGCAACAAAAAGGAGAGCCTAATCTGGCACAACTAAAGCAGCCCTTCCACACAAACTTACCCCAAACTGAATCAACTGAGATGGATGAACAAAAACTTACAAGGTTCAACCAAGAGACGATCCCCCAATATGTTACACCCTGGCTCTACAGGTGCAACATAAAGGACAACAGGCAACTAAAAGTTAATATAATTTATTAACAGAAACAAAAGAGATAACACAAAGAAAACCAAAAAGGGGAAGGCAGGTGTGGTGGTGAGCAGGGCTGCTACTGCCAGGTGAGAGATGCCCATCAACTTCCTGACAGCACTTTTGAATGTGGCTGGTCCCACCCATCTCAGGTGCTGCCAGTCCCAATCAGTTCTCCCATTGGCTGGATCCTGAAAGGAAGAGAAAGCCAGCAGCAACACACAAAGCAGACAAGACTGGGGTCGTCACACCCTCCCCCTTAAGTCAAAAACCAAGGGTTTTTGTAAAACAAATTAACGACCCCAGAGTTAGGAAGTCCAAGTGCAAATTCAATATTTGTAAGTTACACTCACCAAGCTTTTGGAATCTCCACACCCTTGTTGAACAAGGTTTATTTTCAAAGCGTTGATCTGGAGATGTGGTGACAAACAATGAAACCATTCAAAAACTCAGAATGGAGGCAACCATGTACAGCGCCACCTGCCTCCAGAGAATGTTGCACTCAACTATCCTTTCTCCAACAATACAATTACAAAAGGCAAAGTTACAAATTGAGCCACACAGACTCAACTAAAAACCAAACATCTCTCACCAAGCCAACAAACCAGACAACCTATAGAAAATACCATCCAAACAAATTAGCCCTTTTGATAGTGCTCAGGGACCAACACAGCGAAACAGGCAACCAAATGTAAATGACAATGCAAAATCAAGCGCTACTTAACGTAACCAAGTAAGAGTACACAACTTACAAAACCCAAAGATTATAGCAACAAATGTAAGCCTAGAACTTACCAAACCAAAACCTATAACCAAACAAAAGTAAGTGTGAACTACTTACAAAACAGAACTCAGTTTAACAAAAGGCTCCAGTCAAAGAAAACCATACTAAATGAGTCCAGATCCCCTCTACCTCAGGCCTCACTGTCTAAGCTGGACCCTAGTCTTCGTGCAGTCACATGTGATGGGGTATTATGCACATAAAACCAGCGGAGTGATTGGAGAAACAAACCCCTTCACATCCCTGGAAGTGCTCCCGAGCCGATGTAGGGGAAAGGGAATTGGGAAGCTCTACCCACGTTCACTGCAGCCTAAAACATAAACACCACGAGTATCCTGTTGACACTCGCTGTTAAACCTAACAGGGGTTGACTCCAAAAATGGCTAAACAAATGGTCATACCAAAAACCAAGAGACCATACAAACAAAGCCTGGGCCTAACTGAGTAACAAATGTATATGAAAACAGAATGAGCACTAAACAAAAAGCTGTAGATTCACCACAAACATGTGTGACTCAAACAACAAGTAGTTACTAAAACAACTGAAAGCAACTACTGAACTAGAGGTAAAACCATACAACCTGGCCAAGGTCAACCATCTTGACCTCCCATTTCCAGGAACAGATCCCGGACGAGCCCCCATTTGTCACGAACTGGCTCGAGGTTCGGACAAAACTGGAGTCCACACATGTTTCAAAAAGGTACCAAAAATAGAATATTTATTTAAAAGGCTGCTACTGCCAGGTGAGAGATGCCCATCAACTTCCTGACAGCACTTTTGAATGTGGCTGGTCCCACCCATCTCAGGTGCTGCCAGTCCCAATCAGTTCTCCCATTGGCTGGATCCTGAAAGGAAGAGAAAGCCAGCAGCAACACACAAAGCAGACAAGACTGGGGTCGTCACAGTCTCTCTATGGTCTCTCTCTGCCCTCTCTATGGTCTCTCTCTGCCCTCTCTATGGTCTCTCTCTGCCCTCTCTATGGTCTCTCTATGGTCTCTCTCTGCCCTCTCGATGGTCTCTCTCTGGCCTCTCTATGGTCTCTCCCTGGCCTCTCTACTCTCACTACTCTCAGGTCTCTCTCTATCTGGTCTCTCGCTCTGGTCCCTCTCTATCTGGTCTCTCGCTCTGGTCTCTCTCAGGTCCTTCTCTGGTCTCTCTATGGTCTCTCTCTGGCCTCTCTCTGGTCTCTCTCTGGCCTCTCTCTGGTCTCTCTCTGGCCTCTCTCTGGTCTCTCTCTGGTCTCTCTCTCGCCTCTCTATTGTCTATCTCTGGCCTCTCTATATGGTCTCTCTCTCACTGCTCTTAGGTCTCTTTCTCTCTGGTCTCTCTCTATGGTCTCTCCCTGGCCTCTCTATGGTCTCTCTATGGTCTCTCTCTGGCCTGTCTATGGTCTCTCTCTGGACTCTCTCTGGCCTCTCTCTGGTCTCTCTCTGGTCTCTCTCTGGACTCTCTCTGGCCTCTCTCTGGTCTCTCTCTGGTCTCTCTCTGGCCTCTCTATTGCCTCTCTCTGGCCTCTCTATATGGTCTTTCTCTCACTGCTCTTAGGTCTCTCTCTCTCTGGTCTCTCTATCTGGTCTCTCGCTCTGGTCTCTCTCAGGTCCCTCTCTGGTCCCTCTCGGGTCGCTCTCTCTCTTGATATCTCTCTGGTCTCTGGAGTCTACAGAATGACTCACTGTTATAGACGATATTTTTCACAGGGTGTTTACATTCTGGTAAGTAATGATGATGACTTCTGACAGATTGTTGATAAGTGAGAAAGAATCTTTCCCATTGTTTTGTGAACATCAACGTGAAGAGAAATTCTGAAAAATTCTTTGGCACAAAACACTTAAACCAAGATAATAAGTGCCTCAGGATCAGATCCTCAGTGTTGTTTGTCAGTTGGACTCAAACCATGTGCTCTCAATGTCTTCACTCAGAGGCCGATCTTTCACATAACATTATATTTAAATACACTTATATTTATATTGTATTCAAATATGTTTAGTGGTTAGTTATTATACAATTCATTTAGAAAACAATACAAAAGTTAAAGGAGACATATACCAAACAAATCTACCTTTTTAATCACATCAAAACAATAATAATATAACAAGTCATTATTCATTCACTCCAAACACCCCGGTGATAAACTACTACTGTAGCTACAGCTGCCCTGGGGCACACTGACAGAAGCAAGACAACCAGTCTGTGCCATCGGTCCCTCCCAAATGTCTTGCCTAAGAACACAACCACAAATTGACACTTTAAAGCCGCAGCCGCCCCACTGTGGCACCTGGTGTTCCCAGAGGTCTCCCATCACAGTATCAAACCAGGACCTGCCTTGCTTAACATCAGAGGTCTGACAGGATCTGGCTTTAGGCTGTAGTGAAATCACAGACTTTATAATTGCACTTTCTGTATCTTCTTCTTCTTCTCACCACAACATCCAGAATATTGCCCTAACAATGCTTTCGAGGCACCACACAACACCACACAACATCACATCACACAACACCACACCACACCACACAACATCACACAACATCACACCACACCACACCACACCACACAACAAAGAAAATAAAATACATATTTACAAACACATCTCAGACAACTTATTCCTGACTATGGAACGACTGAAGTTTCTCTCCGATGTTAACACTGCAGATGACACAAACTAAAACAGAAAAAGTCCAAACGGTAAAACCTCGAGCTCAGGTTTCAAATCACCGCTGAGTTTCCCGACATGCGCTGGAGGTTGGAGGCTAATGACTGAAAACCATTTATAACCCTCTCCTTGTGGCGTCATAAATTAAAGTGTTGTATGGAGACTATGTGAACTGCTCTAGCCTGGTCATACCACACCATTGTACTAATTTCATTTCGTACGTGTAGGCACATGGTAAATGACCGGAGTTGGGTGATGCCAGGCCAGAGGTGAACTGCTCCATTACAGTAAAAAATAAATGTGAGACAAGGGTTTTGTGTTTGTGTTCACTGAAGCACATGTTTACTTACCTGCTTCTTTATAATGCTAAAGTTAAATGTTATACTTGCATCTTTATTATACTAAAGCTAGAGATTGTATATTATTTTAGAAAAGAGTTATTGTTCCTTTGTGCTCCTCATTCCTGCTGCTCTGTTACTGGTGATGCAACACTGAAATTTCCCCACTGTGGGACGAATAAAGGATCTAAGCTATATTTTTCCTAAAGTAATTTATTACCCTTTTCCACGTGCAGGGGTTCTATTGTGGCTCTGGTCCTGGTTTCAGAGCGCATGGAGTGAGTCTCAATCGAGAAGCTGCACTTAGAATTATTTTGGTTATAAATCTGCGAGATGACGTCATGAGGTAATTAAAAGCACTTTTGATATTTCGTTTTCAGTTCAGGTCTTGTTAGATGGCTTTGCTCGAGCACCTGCAGCTTGGTGTGTGAGGGAATATTTTCTCTGGACGCGGTTCAAACTTTGAGGGGAAACAGAAAAAAGCAGAGAGGCATTACGCCATCTCTGCCTCTCTCTCACTTTGGGAAAAAAGTGTGGATTTAAAAGGTTCTCGGAGGATTCAGAGCAGAGTGGAGCAGGGACGGGTGACTGCGGCTCTCAGGCTCATCTTTAAGGCAGGATTTTTGGATCTGCGTCCTGTGCCATTAGCGGCAGGATCGTTACGCAGCATTATGATTCTTATCATAGCAAACCACACGTTATCTCTGCACAGAATATACGTCAGTTATAGCAGTTGTATTGGCACGTCTGCCTCTGGCCCCTGTCTCACATGGAATACAGGTTTTATCCAGGATTTCTTTGGCACAGGGCCGCGCGCACAATGAGCACCTTTCGCTCAGAGCTGATTCTCCACTGACTGCGTTTACTACGATGTGGACCAGGCGCACTGGGCTTTAGGATGACACTGGTCCGACTCCTGCTGTTCAGCTGCTGGACTCTGCTCTTCACCACAGGATTCACGGTCACCGGCTCCGCGTGGAACTCCGCTCCAGCCAAAATCACGCGCATCCAGGCCGCAGCAGCTGGAGCAACTATCACCAGGGGGACCGGCTCCAGAGGGTCCGACACCAGGGGGACCGACATCAGAGGGAGAGGGACCGACCCCAGGGGGACCGCCACCGACACCAGGGGATCCGACACCGGGACTGACCCCAGAGGGAGAGGGACCGACACCAGGGGGACCAACACCAGCGGGACCGATACCAGGGGGTCCAGCACCAGAGGGACCGATACCAGGGGGACCAACACCAGAGGGGCGGCTACCAAGGGAACCAGCAGCATCAGCAAAGGGAAACTGAGCGCACATCTGTCCCAGGCTGGTGCGTCCCAGACTCTTGCGCGCCCTGTGAGGGACCGGGCAGGGGGGACACAGGGCCGGACAGTGGGGGCACAGGGCCAGTCCTGGATGGACAGAGAGGCTGCTGTGAGGACACACTTCTCGTACGCAGCACCGCTTCTTGGAGACAATGTAAAAGTAGAGAGTTCTCTGAGGACCGTGAACTCTGCGCAGCGGACCACGGCGGCTGCGCAGACGCTCCATCACCGGCCGCAGGTCCAGCAGAGCCCCAGTGGCCTCCAGCGCTCTGTGAAGGTTCCCACCGCCACAGCGGAGGCAGAAACGCCGCACAGACAGCCGCACAGACAGCCGCTGGTGGTGCCTCATGACTACATGCTGTCTCTGTACTGGTCTCTGTCCAGCGGAGACGTCAACAGCAGCGCGCTGCACGAGGCCGGCCTGGCCAACACCATCACCAGCTTCGTGGACAAAGGACAAGGTACAGTCATCATTATTATCAGCATTTCTATAACACTCATCTCTACAGTTACTGATAAAATACTGAGGAACAAGAATAGTTTTATTCTGACGCAAACTTTAGCTTTAACTGTGCGGGTTTCGATTGTGGCTGACATGAGACCTGATTGTGGAGGAGCCTGCTCTATTATATTGTGTGACATTAAACAATTGACTGTTCCCAAAGCTTCTACACAAAAATGTGTTCAGTCCAACACAGCAGATTTATTTGCAGTAAATAAACTGAATCCTTTGAATAATGATGACTCATAAATGTGACTTTTACAAAGATTGTTTGATAATACAATAGTAAAGAAAAGCATAGAGAGTGTTGTTGTGTCTCTACATCTGCTCAGCAGAAATAAACATCTCACTGTCTGTGTTATATTTATGATGAGTTAACATTTTCTGGTGTTACATAAAGTTTACAATTTCTTGTTTTTTTTTTTTTTAAATGTGGCCTTTATGTCTTTAGTGATTGGTGTTTAGTGAGGAGAAACAGTGACCAGTGACAGTGGTCCAGGAGCCGCCCCTCAGACGGCACCATATAATTGGCCACAGAAGCTCTGTATATACGTGCACACATTTAACTGCAGCTTGACAAACTTGTTGTGTGTCTAGAATGACAGCTTTGTTTATTCGTACTCTGGTTCCTTGAGTCCTTCAGTGAAGCTGTTTTTTCTCTGACAAAGATTCAATGCCAAATTTCCAAACTTTTTTTTTTTTACATTGGTGAAAGTTTGTAAAATGAGCCTTTATTCTACACACCCTCTGTCCACTGGAAATAATACACTAATAACTAATTAAACATACAGTCTGTAATGATGCTATTAACAGCAATTTTTTTGGGAGAAAAGTCCTTTGTTGTGAAGTTCAAACCTCAGTTCAAACCTCAGTGCTTAGGCTCCTGTCATGACTCATATGCTGAGACTGGGTTTATCAAAATAACTCTACAGTTATGATAGTAGTTTAGATGTTGTATTCTCCATCTACAAGAGATGGAGAATTCTTCTACTTTCTGTGAGTTCACAGGTTTGTGTCATGATAGATGGTGAAGTCCATGCTTTGGTCCTTAACATCCTCATTCTCACAGAGGATGTCATCACAGTGAAACCCTCTGTGTCGTCATGTGTTTTCATCCCTCAGTGATTTCAATTCAGATCATTTCAAGTAATTCTTGTATTTCCCCTAAAATCACAAGTTTTCTCAGAGGACTTAACAAAACAGTTGAATTCGCCAACACAAATTAGAGAATCAAACACATAGAGCCATTGGTCCATGAGGGACAGACGGACATTGTCCATAAATGTTGACAAATGTCCATAGATGATTCATATGAAGTCTCTCTTGCAGACGAGCGAGGGCCCCAGCTCCGACGGCAGAGGTATCACTTCAACGTGAGCGCCCTGGATCGCGACAGCCTCCTGGGGGCCGAGCTGCGCATCCTGAGGAAACACCTGTCGGACCCCCACAGACTCCCCCCTCTGGGATCAGGACCCTCGCTCCGCCTCTACACCTGTGCCTCAGGACGACACAAGCCCACTCTGCTGCAGACCAAACCCATGGACACTGCCCCCGGTGGTGGTGGTGGGTTCAGCAACAAATGGGAAGTATTCGACATATGGAAAGTCTTCAAGGTTTTAAAGCAAAGCGCTCTCTCCAAGCAGCTGTGCTTTGAACTGGAAGCTTCGCAACATCGAGGAGGACGAGCCCTGGACCTGCGGACTCTGGGGTTTGGTCGACCTGGAAGGAGCACCAAGGAGAAGGCCTTTCTGTTGGCGTTTGGGAAAAGCAAAAAGAGAGACTTGTTTTACAACGAGATCAAAGCGCGCTCAGGACACGACAATAAGACTGTGTATGAGTATCTGTTCACACAGCGGCGAATGCGACGCGCCCCGACCGTGAGAGCCAATAAGAAGCCTCTGCAGCCGCCGCAGATGTTCCCTCAGAACCAAGTCATTAAGGCTCAGAGCAAACGCTGCCATAAGAAACAGCTGCACGTGAACTTTAAGGAGATGGGCTGGGATGACTGGATCATCGCGCCGCTGGAGTACGAGGCATTTCACTGCGACGGCGTCTGTGACTTCCCCATTCGCTCGCACCTGGAACCCACCAACCACGCCATCATCCAGACCCTCATGAACTCAATGGACCCCTCCTCCACGCCACCCACTTGCTGCGTCCCCACCCGGCTCAGCCCCATCAGCATCCTCTACATTGACTCTGCCAACAATGTGGTGTACAAGCAGTACGAGGACATGGTGGTGGAGGCCTGTGGCTGCAGGTAGCAGAGTGACCGCAGGGATGGATCTAAGTCATGTGACCACATGGACAGATATAAGTCATGTGACCCATATGGGCGGTCCAGGTCGAACTCATGTGACCTACAGGGACGGTCCTAGTCTAAGATTTTTTTTTTTTATACCATCACAAGGTCCCACATTTTTAACCAGCAATTCAATTCAATTTATTTCTGTATAGACCTAATACAACAGTGTTATCTCTGTGGGATTTACAAAGTTGTTGATTCTCCAACAAAAATGCAAGAATCCGTTCAAACACAGGAAATGCAATGATAGCAAACACATGAATGTCCATAAATGTGGCAAGATGTGCAGTGTTCTGGATCATCACCACTGTCTTTAGAGCCTCAAGTGTTAAAGGAGACATATTATGCTAAATAAACTTGTTTTTCCTCTTTTAACTATGTTGCAACATTGTTCCTCATCAAAAACAGACCTGGAGTTGTTTTTAGAACCATTCTTGCAAATATCAGGCCCCTCTGGTCTCTTTCCTGTATTATTTTGTTATTATTATGCTGCTATGACATCACTAAGACATCATACAAAGTAATACAAAAATAAAGTAGTTTTAGTTTCTCACACGACATGGGACAACATTCACAGTCTGTGTTTGCAGCCAGTAAATTGTTTATCTGTAAAAAAAAAAACGAGACTCCTCCATACAATAAACTGCAAGATATCTTTGTCATTTTAATGGGCAAAAACAATGCATTATATTTCTCCTCTAAGACAGTTTAAAACCAGGCACATGTTGACAGTAATGTTCACTACTGTCCGGGGGAAGGGCCTCACTCTTATCTACACGGAAATGTTATTGTTTTCACAGAAAAAATCTCCATTATGCAATTTAAAGATAAAAAAATACTGTTCAGGTTGAGTGTGAACACTAATTTTTTTTCCATGTAGCCGTGAGAGCCTAAAACATTTCTTCTCTGGAAACTTCTCTGGAAACAAAAACACCAAAGATTATGAAGCAACACATTTCTTTGTATTTGTGAAATAGAGTTTATGATAATGAGCTTTACACACACATTGGAGTTATAAGTAATAGTTTTCACACAACTGAAGTCAAGATTTTAGGTAGCCACATCTGCCCTGTGGCACACTGACAGAAGGAAGGCAGCCAGTCTGTGCCAACGGCCCCTCCCACCCCCACAAACCAGTGTCCTGTCTAAGGACACAACCACAGTTAGCCACTTAACAGTCGTAGCCGCTGCACTGTGGCACCTGGTGTTACCCGAGGTCTCTCATCAGAGTACTGACTCAGCCCTACCATGCATAGCTTCAAAGATCTGATAGGATCTGGCTTCAACTGCAGGTACGGCCAAGTATGTGAGAAATGCCACTGTTTAAAAGTGGACAGTGATGAAGTGCAAGTCTGACCTGTTCCAAATGTGGAAAAGTTGCAATAAAATGATTCAATAACAAATGTGTAAATGTATGATGTCACATTCCTCTCAGAGCGACCCCCAGGTTCTAAACTAACAAAGAATGCACCAAACTCACACAAGACGGATGTGTTTGTCTTGGAACTCTCAGTGTTGGTGGTTCAACGTTTCAGCTTCAGTTTGAAATCAGCGGGTTTTTTTTATAAATCTTTACCTGTTTCTGTCTCTGTTTCGTTCTCTCTACCAGGACTTCCCTAACCACTGCTGTTGTAAAGAGCTCCATATGTTCATGTGTTTGTGGGTAGATTCAGATTCGGTATATTTTGCATCTGCAGTAAAACCACATTGGAATACATGTGCAAGAGTCCCCTGTGTGCACCAAACCATTACAGGAATAAGACAAACTAAAAAGTACAGAAACAATTCTCACGGTGAAACCAATCAACAAAAACAGTTTAAACACAAGATCATTAAAGTACTTTTTTTCAGACTGATGAAGAAACAGTTTACAGCAGAAACAGCATATCCAATATCACCTGCCAGAGGGAAGAAGCTGGAACATGGCTTTTCCAAGGGCCTGGATTCATAAAGAACCTCCGGAACACACAGCTCGCAGTACTTTATCAGAGTGGAGCATCTCCCTCTGGTCCCTCTATGGTCTCTCTCTGGTCTCTCTCTGGTCTCCCTCTGGTCTCTCTATGGTCTCTCTCTCTCTCTGGTCTCTCTCTGGTCTTTCTCTGGTCTTTCTCTGGTCTCTCTCTCAGGTTTCCCTGTGGTCTAAATACTACATATTTGAAACAGTTTATCCCCTCTTATATCTGAAATCACTGCTGCCACAGATGCTCTGAAGACTCTCGCGGAGGTGAGTTTTGGATTTAGTTTTTGTGTTAAAGGATATTGTGAAACTGTATTCCCCACAGAGAGAGCACCTGGCTTTAATTATCGCACATTTCCACATTAGTCCATCTGAGTCTGGGGCAAAGCATTCTGCAAACACAGGATCTACATCTCTGTGTGATTTAAATGTATCTGTGATTCATGAGACTCATATTTTCAAGATTCGAGAAACTTGTTCTACAGCAGTGAATGTATCTTTGTTTGGTTAACACTTCTCACTACTGTTTTCTGTGTTGGTTTTGTCAATAACTTTAACCTTAAAGTGTCATGAGCACAGACCTCCGCCGAGAGGCACAGTTCCAACTTCCAATCTTTCAGTTGTTCACTGGGTTTTCTGTTGGTTTTCTGAATCCATCCATCCATTTTCTTCCCCTTAATCCATTTCTGGGTCGGGGGGTTGCAGTCAGAGCTGCACCCAGTACACTTAGCACCAGCCCCTCACTGATCCTCCTGCAGGTGGTGAGTCCACAGGAAGTTTTCTGAATATTTTGTCAAAATTCTTCCCAACATTTAGAGTAATGTCCACAGACAGATAAAGGGTCTCTCCCTGGGCAGAGGTGAATATTCCTTTTGTTTGCAGAGAATTTATAGTAATCATAGAAATATAGGTCATGCATTCAATTAGTGTGCATTATAGAGCTTATAGAACTTTATAGAACTAGAAGTATACATACAACATAAAATAATTTCATTCTAGTAAAAAGTTATTATTTACTTTTCTTGTGCTGTGTGCTCCTCATTCCTGCTGTTCTGTAACTGGTAATACAAAACTGACATTTCCCCACTGTGGACGAGTAAAGGATCTCTTCATCTTCATCTAAACATACGTGTTCTTCACTCCCTGTCCTCGTCCCTGTGATCCACATTCCTGCGTTCCTCTCTCCGGTTCCGTATGAAAAAATTTAGTAAAGTAGAAACATGAATTGTTTACTTCACGTTTCCACGTCATTGTTTGTGGCCCAGAATCAGAGTGAATGGAGTTAAAGAGGCCTATTGTATTTCCTGCATAATCAATAACATGTGTCGTACATCTTCACTGCTGACGAGGAGTTTAACGAGGCTTAACTTTAATGGTTACCACTGCTAAACAACAAACAAACACGCTCTGCTGAGGGCTGCACCAGAGAGCTCCGCTGTGTGTACTGGTGTGTATAGTTGTAAGTAATTAATGTTTATTTATACAGCGCATTTCACAGACCAAGGTCACCCACCGCGCTTTACAATGTTTAGACCATTAGACCATTTTACATGTTTTTAGTGGTAGGTGAAACTGGAGCAACTGAAAGAAACGTATGCAGACACGGGGAGAACATGCAAACTCTCCCAGGACCTTCTTTCTGTGAAAAAGAAGCTCTAACCCCTGCGCCTCCGTGCCACCTGTTGTGTGTTGTTGTTGTTGAGGCTGATGCAGAGAATCACTGCGCACAACAAATAAACTTTTATTTTGCTAAATGTTCCTGTCTCGATAGATAGATAGATAGAGAGATAGATAGATAGATAGATCCCCCGTAGGATAAATTCAGGTGTCCAGCAGCAGAAGACTGTTGTTGTTCCACAGTCAGTCAGGTTTGTTGTACAGTCTGCGAGCCGAAGGAACAAAGGATCTCTTGAAACGTTCAGTTTGGCAGCGTAGTGATAGGAGCCTGTTGCTTCGATTACTCCTCTGAGCGGCCATAGTGTCATGCAGAGGGTGTCTGGAGTTACCCAGGATGCCCTGCATTAGAGCCTTCATCCTTCTTTCCAGCACAGCTCCCATAGTCCACACTTCTCCCCATCACAGAGACACATTTCCTGATCAGCCTGTACGGTCTTACTGTCTCTCAAGGTCATTCTGCCGCCCCAACACGCAACCCAGAAGAACACGGCACTAGCTACCACAGACTAGTGAATAATGTGCAACATTTGACTGCTCACATCAAGGGACCTCAGTCTACTAAGAAAAGTCTGCTCTGACCTTTCTTGTAGATGGCATTGGCCTGAGCTGACCAGTCCAGTCTATACAAAACCGATGCATTATTATTATTGGACTGTTCAGGTTACATCTGTGCCACCAGGAAAAGGATCAAAATAAAAATCAAAAGACGGGAAAAGGCTGCGTTTGTCATGGTGTGGATTTTATTTTTGTAATTTTATTTTATTTTGAAATTGGTCTTGTGGTTTGGTTTTAGTTTTGCTTCCTGTCTTGTTCCCCAGTCTTGATTGTCTGCCCCGCCCTGATGTGTTTCACCTGTGTCTCTGTGTGTCTATATGTACCCTGTGCTTCTCTCCCCTTGTTGCTAGTCCATTGTATTGTCAATGTCTTGTCCACGTCTGTTCCTGTTTTGTTTAGTGATGGCAATATGAAGCCCCATGAAGCCTTGAGGGATAGCAGCCTATTACTCGGCCCATGAGTCGAAGGCTCGAGGTGAATCATGCTCCACTACGCCATCATGTGGACAAAGAAATACATAACACTCTTAAGTGCTTACAATGAATGGTGAGATCTAATGTTAAAATGTATATTTACAATCTATGGTCTAACGTGTTGTGTTTGAAATGATGCTTCATGAACTATGAACTATTTGAGTCTTTCAGTCAATTGTGTTGATACAACAAACACATCCAAAGTAATACAGTTCTACAGAAAGTGATTAATGGAGGAAAAACTACCAAGAGGTGGATTAATTAAACACAACAAACCATTTATTCCCAATAAATAAA